GACATTACGTTGACATTACGTTGACACTACGTTGACATTACGTTGACATTACGTTGTAGGTAAGATCAACGCTGCAGGCATCACGATACCGGACTCGCACGCCCCGCCCTTCATCATGGTCGGTCTCGGGACGGGACTCGCTCCCTTCCGCGCTTTCATCCAAGATCGCGAGGTCGCTCGCGTCCGCGGAGAACCCACAGGTACGTCGCCAGGGGGCGCCACTGACGCATACGTGTTTTGACATTCGGTTTGACATTGTTTTTAGGTCGGGCCACAATTTAAAAAAAATATTTGTTTGCCCTCACCCGACCCAGGCTGAAAGGTTTGGGTAGGTAGGTAGGCTTTTTTTTGAGGGTGGGGGTCTTTTTACAAATTCAGCATGGTGTCTACATGCTCGGGTGTGCTTGTGTGGAGATACCTTTTATGTTGAATGTTTGTTTTGCTTGGTACATGTAATGTATTGCCTACAGATTTATATAATGTACAGTGATACAATTTGTAAAAAAAAAAAGATTAATAAAAAATTTTGAGTCGGCCCCTTTTTGGCGGGTCAGTCGGGTGAGAGCAAACAAACAATATTTTTATTATGGCCTCGGGGAGTGAGTAATGGCGTCGTCGTACGTTAGATGTAGAGTTTGTCGCGTGCGTGAACGTCGTTACGCGACGCCGACGAATGATCAAACGTAAAATCCTTAATCACTTGTTTGTGATAATACTGTAATATATTTACCTCCGCCCACGGAGTGGAGGAGGTTATGTGATCACTCTCGTGGAGTGTGTTAGTGTGTCCGCGCGATCGATATTAGCGCGTCAGCGAGCAGCAGCAACGAGCTCTGTTGTTGGCGGAGGTATGCACTCTCTGTGAGTGCCCTCCGTCTAGTCATACATGTGTATGTGTGTGTGTCTATATATGTATATTTGTCCGTATATATACATACGCATGCACGCACGCACGCACACACACACACACACACACACACACATATGATAATGCTGATGTGTTGTTGTGTAGGACCTATGGCTCTGTTCTTCGGTGCTCGCTACAAGGCGACCGACTACACCTATGGTGATGAGCTGGAGGCGTACCATTCCTCAGGTATGCATGTCAGCGTAATTAGCACGCTCGTTACTGATGTAATTAGCACGCTCGTTACAGACTCGCCGTAACGATGCGTCTGTAGCTGCGGCTCGTTATAATTAGAGTGCCTCCTTTTCCTCACCCTCCCCTCTCCTTCCTCCCCCCACCTCCCTCCTCTCTCTCCTCCCCCTTCCTCCTCCCTCAGCCTGGCTGATGGTTATTGTTTTATCTTCGATTTATATTTTATTTTTTAAATATTTTTTTTATTTATTTTTTTGTTGTTGTTTGTTTTCTTTTTTTTTCCCTCTGTGATGATATATGTTTCTCTTGTGCGGCAGGTAAGGGCGTGCTGACGGTGATAGAGAACGCGTTCTCAGCTCCTCCCTCCCCTCCTCCCTCCCCCTCATCCTCCCCTCTCCTACCTCCTTCCTCCCTCCCTCCCTCCTCTCTCCCCCACCTCTCCCTCACCCCTGACTGACGGTGATTGTTTCTCTCTCTCGTGCGGCAGGTAAGGGCGTGCTGACGGTGATAGAGAACGCGTTCTCAGCTCCTCCCTCCCCTCCTCCCTCTCTCTTTCTCTCTCTCTCTCTCTCTCTCTCTCCCTCTCTCTCTCTCTTTTTTTTCTCTCTCTCTCTCTCTCTCTCTCTCTCTCTCTCTCTCTCTCTCGCTCTCTCCC